GCGGTCTCCATCGCTAAAGCACGCTCTGACCACTATGCCTCGCGATCCTTGCTTAAGCTTTGCTTGAGCAGCCGGTTGGCAGAACGGCGCCACTCGTTGCGGTCTGATTCCGTCGGGATATCTTTGCGGCTCCAGAGAACGAGCAGAGATCCAAGCCTTTAAGGGGCGTCGAACTAGGCCACAGCTTGATTGTCCGGAAATGGTCATCACTTTCTGTATACAAGTCCAGTGTTGCCCTACGTCTTGCGGTGGTTTGCAACTGATTGCGTATGCCAGTAAAGACTGATAGCTCGCCTGGACAGAGGAATCAGTTAATCAGTTTACATCAGCCTTGCGGTGCATCACGTTTCGAGACCCCCCAACACACATGCAGGTTTTCGCACGGATCAGTGCATGATCTGAGTCGACGAAGGTGGACCAAATGGACCTACAGTCCAGTACGCTACCACACCCTCTGAAGCTAATTGCAATGTGATGAATTTGAGACCACGGCTGTGTTAGCGAAGGGGGACGCCACATTGCGGAACGCTTCTTCGTACGCCTGAAGCTAGTGTTCGAGAGAAACAGACGATTGTCTTCGCACAATGTGAGAAGTCTCTCCGTTATCAGAGCGGTTCTCATCGAGCGCGTGGTGACCACCAAGGTGGCGTTCGTATGGTAACCGGTGGCCAACCCGTGCAATAATATCCCCAACAAAGACATCTGACATTTTAACACTAGTTAAGAGCTGATGTAGATTACGGTAGAATTCATCCTTGACCGAGCTGCCACTGCAATCATTTTGCGTGTACACGGAGATCACAAACAAGTTGTGTTTCTCTTCGCGACGTTTGTTCATTCTACATGAACCCAAAAGCCGAACTGCACATAGTCGGCTGTTAATCTGGAACCAGTCCAGTAGTGCCGCCTCGGCCTTGCCACTTAGTGCTATACCTACACCAGCCAAACCCGCTGAGGCTTCGTCTGGGTCTCCAGAAAGAGGCAGGTGATATCTGGCTTCGTGGTCAGTGGTGGGTGTCAATGTAAGCACCCTGCTGGGATCTTGCAATCGGGTTTCTGAAAGGCAGCAGACATCAAAATGGAGGGATTCTATGGTGCGCGCTAGACCGGCTTGCTGTCCAATCTGCATGAGTGTCCGAGCGTTGAAGCACGCCAGACGGAACGAGGATCGGGGACCAAGGAGAGCCATAGGTTGAACTCCTTAGTTCGCGGCACAACCGGAACCGCAGCCAGATTGTTGAACACATGAATCGGGCAACGAAAAGTAGGGATTGTTAGCAAACAAACAAGTGGCGATTGATGAAGTCGCGTGAATGTGGGAAGCAGCAACGGTAGTTGATAAACACGTTGTAGTACAGTCCATGGTCTTGTGATAGGGCGTGATACTACCCGGTTGCCCAGGCCTAAGTAGGGGGTAGACTTAGGGGACCCCACACTAAGGCTTTGGCTAAATAACCTACCCTCAAGGCAGCGGAGCGAATTCAGGGAATCACGCCCATTGGGAGGCGCTGACTGAATCTTCAGTTCATGCGTCTTTCCTTTGGTAGATTACCAAACAGGGGCCCAATAGTCCCCATGAAATCATCACAATTGCCGGACTACAATGCCCCACCGAGGTGGAACAATGACCCCGAACACTTCGCTGGAACGGGGTACACCCGAACCACCCAGCTTGCACCGCGAGGAGGTAGTTCGGCCTGCCAGCCGTTTCGGAAAGGCAGCAAACATCGATGGCAATGGATTCCAAGGTGCGCGCAAGACCATTCTGCTGCCCAATGTGCATGTGTGTATGTACATTAATGCATGCCAAGCGGAACGACGATCGAGGCTGAAAGAGGGCTAGTGGACGAACTCTGTTGGTATCGACGAAACCATCGGGAGTAGAATCTTGGAAAAAGGAATCAGCTGGTAACGGATAACAGTGATTTGGAACTTGTGAACAAGTGGCGTGTGAATAAGGAGTGCAGGTAGCATAAATTAAGACAGCTGAGCGCGATATAGCAGACGAACAAACAATGGCTTTTTTAGTGGGCGTAATACTACCCGGTTGTCCAAGCTGGAGTAAGGAGTTGTTTTAGGGAATTCCACCCCGAGCCTTTGCCTAACTAGCCTACCCGCAAGGCAGCGGGGCGAATTCAGGGAATCCCACCCACTGTCAGTCGCCGACTGAATGTTCAGTTCATACATCTTTTGTTTGGTAGGTCACCAAACGGGGGCCCAATTCACCCCATGCAATCAGCACAATTGCTGGAGTACAATGCCCCACTGAGGTGGAACAGTGCCGTCGGACAATTTGCTGGAACGGGGTACCTCCGAACCATCCAAATGGCACCACGAGGAGGTAGTTCGGCAAGCCAGCTAGGGGAAAAGAGACCGCTGTAAAGTAGAAAACAGTTGGGTTTTGTTTGTACAAATAAGTCCAACCCTGTCACCCATCTGGATTCGACAGACACAGCCTCTTGTTACTGTCACCAGCAACGAGACAGATATAGCACTCAGTGTAAGGCAGCAAGTATGGGATGAACTGATGCGCAAAATGCTTAAGCCCAGACGGTGGTGTGTCCATGGGTTACCAAGACGTTTTAGTTGGCGACGAGAAGAAATCCACTCCTAAATTTCGGTTTACATTCGATTAGATGTCGGCTACTCTCTGATGTTAGGGATGTCTGAAACAGGCTTGCCGAATTTCATCATGATTCTGCGTCACAGTACCCATCGAGCTGGATAACCTCATTCTCCATATCAGGATGTAGTCAGCTTTTTTGTAACATACTGTCAGCGTTTGCATATTCTTTACGTTGCGTAGTGGCACTGACGTCAGAGGGAGAACGCACATTGCGCTTTATTTATAGGAACGTATTAGTCCAGCTTACCAACAAGGACTTTGCTTTTTTATTTTACTAGAGCGTTTACTAAAATTCCTTTGATGATGTCCCTGACTCTGTGACCGCATGCGATTTAAGACGCGTTCCGCGCAGTGTCCCGGAACCATTGCAAAACACGCGGAGTAGGACAGCATTGGTTACCTCAGAATTATACAGATAGACAAAATTCCGCGAGTAGTAGGTCAGCATTGATACGTCCGCAGTGGATAGCGTACTCGAAAAAATACCAACAGCCGATTTGAAATCACCGCTTTCCTGTTCTAGCCAAGGTTGCCGTGAAGATTATAGAGTACACTAGAGCTGTTCTGGTCAAAAGACCTAGGGGTGCCCGCACAGCACGGCTTCATGCCAGGTCGCTCATGCATCACTGACTTACTCATGATGTAACATGAATGGCTGCAGGCGGTGTGGAGCTGGATGTCAGTCGACGTGATCCGCATCAAGTCCAGTAAAGCGTTCGACCTAGTGAACGATAAGGTCCTACACAGACCGAGGGCTTGTGGTTTGGTGGTGGTGTACTGCACCAGTGGATCCGGGCGTTTTTCGTTGGTTGAGAATGCGGTTACAGTTTACGGGCACCAAACCAACTGGTGTCTTATTCGCAAGTTACCCCAAAGCAGAGTGACGCGTCCATTTCTGTTCCTGCTCCACATCACAACGATCTACCTCCACTTCTGCAGTCGCCATGTACCCTGTTTGCGGACAATCTGAGGATTTGCATAGGAACTGATGCACTCGCCGACTGCAATCTACCTACTTCAGCAAGAACTTAACCTCTTCATGAGGTCTACGGAAGTCCACTTCTCGGTCTACCCAGCCAAGCCGGTATTAATGAGATCTGGGAAGGGCGGTGAGGACTAATCACTACAACCCACGCCTTCCATCAAGGCCCCACGTCTTCTCGTGCGCCGCCATTTGAAGTCCTTGGAAAAAAGGAATAGGCTGTATCGTAAACGATTACAGCTGCTTGGACACTCAAAGGCGACTTCTTGGTCGGAAGAGATCGCTACTTGCATGTTCCCTTCCGTCATGAGACCAATGTTAGAGTACAGCTAGCCCACCTACTGCCTGATCACTTTAGGTGTAGCACCGAAGATCGAACGTGCCTGACACGTCCCTACCAGGCTTATCCCTGTCTTACGGCGTTTTCCGTAAGAAGATAAGTACTGTACCTCTTCTCCTGTCATCCTTTTAGAGCAGAAATGTCCAAATTCCGGCCGGCGGGCCGAATGTGGCTCGCGTTGACATTTAAACTGGCCTTCGGCCTCATCATGAAATAGTAAATTCAGGCTTGCACATTTTCCTTACAGAAGACACTATATAGATTACAAAAATTAAAGGCGTTTCGAGTGCGTCATCCGATGTCGTCAGATACTGGCAAAAATCAATGAGGTGGTATTGTTTATTTTTAACCAACTAGGAGAAGTCTATGTAGTACTTTTACTAAAGGGTCTTAGCTAAATCAAAACTTACAAAATTCCCCAGATCTCAGTTTCACTATTCGCATTAAAGACTTGTAAAAAAATTAAAGAGACATCCTTTTTGCTTATTATCTTAATATCAGACTGAATATAATGCCAACATATTTTCGCCTCACAAATATGGCACTCTTTGCGAAAAGTTTGGACACCCCTGGTTTAGGATTTTCATATCTTAACATTACATCTCGGCTACTCACCCATGCTGAGACCGCTGCTCCACCTACTTACGCCATGCAGCACACAGGGACAAGTTTATGGTCTCGGCCCTGTAGTGAGTTTTCGACTTCCTGTGTTCTGTATAGAGTGATAAATGTTTGGAACAGTTTGCCAGAACATGTCATGGAAGTGGACTCTTTGCAACATTTTAAGACATTACTGGATTTGCATAATATTCTGTTCGATTCAGAGAGGGGTTGCCGATTGACAATATCCTACATTTGTGCGCCCTGTGGGAGTTGGGCACTTTTAAATGTCAAATTAGAACTTGAGGAACGATTATTATTGTAATAGCAGGTAACAGGTAATTATTTTTACCTTTTTAACCATATTTTGATGGAGTTGTAATTATATCTACTTCCCCTATTCAAGTGCATCTCTTATGGAAACTTCGGTAATTTTTGTTATCCATTTGCAGGAATTGGGATACTCTGGTTCTGCTTACTCTTTGCGTGATCAGTTGAAGGTGAACCCAAGTTTCACTCGTCCAAAGTCTGCCCCCATCGAATGGCCTGCGATTTCAAAGTTTCTGAATCATTTGGAGGTCGACTGGTCGATTCTCAGCATGACCGATTTGGTGTTCAATCACACATCTAACGACAGTCCGTGGTTACATGAACATCCCGAATGCGCATACAACGTTGTCAATTCACCACATCTTGTACCCGCTTACTTGTTGGATTTCATTATTTGTCAGATGTCTGCCGAAGCTGCACGTGGTTCTCTTGCTTCCCATGGAATCCCGGCTACTTTGCGCCATCCATCTAGTGAACTACCGGCAATACGTTCATGGCTCAGTTCACAGATTGAGGCCGCTCGCCTTCATGAGTTCTTCTTGGCCGACACTACTGCCGTCGAAAAGGAGTTCGTCTCATGGTTACGTAAGGCTATTTTTGGATTCAGTCAACCTACCATCTACTATATCGCATCCATCGTTTTGGTCCTTCACTGAATTGTTTGTTGACTTAGTCACTCTATCGTTTAGGACGTGTATTACTCCATTGGAGTCAAGATGTACTTTGCACGGCCCTTCATGCACTTTCAGTGTCTCTAATCAAGCCGCTTATCTGTCACTTAACGTTAGTTGCACAGTTTGGACTTTTGGAAGATTGTCGTAAGTCCGCAGTAATCGAAACTGTTTCACATGGTTGTTCTCCAGTAAGCGTGGCCAGCATATGCGGTACAGCCCGTATCTGATGCTCACAATCGTGAGGACAAATTGTACATGTCAGACGCAGATCATTTAAAGCACTTCGTGACTTCTGGTGATGTCTACCATAGATGCATCTCAACATGAATCTATGATTTACTTCGGTTTTTCAGACACTTGCTTCCGTGGAAGCTAGCTGTAACTCTCAGAAGACAAAGGATGTTATGTTAAGTGCAGTTGAAGTGGTGGCATTTGAAGCGCTTTCAGACACCGCCGAGTGTCATGAGGCCGCATTGTGTACCGATGTGGTCCAGTGACTGTTGATCATCGACACACTGCCTGATGTTGAGAGGAATAGCAGTCAATCCCAGGCTGGTACGTCGACTGGTCAGAGCTCTGGTGTTCCATTACTAAGAGTTCTTGAGAAATGTTGTTAGAGAGAAGGAAGGACTCTGGTTTTCGTGACTACTCTGCACGATTGCTAGTACGACGATTTGCGCCCTCATTGTTTACTGAACTCGTATTGTTGAGTACTGTAAGCGATAAATTCGCACGGGACTTGCGGAACTCGCGTAACTCCCAGGTCCAACGGGAAGAAAGCCGAATATGAACTACGGTACTATTCATATAGATATCAAACTACTCTAAAGACATCCCTCAACAATACCCGCTCAGTGCTGAAACACTCGAGTCTCTACAAGGTACGCAATGAGGGTGCAAATCATCGCATTTGCTACTGTACACATGCAAAGTCCGTGAGCGGAATCACACAGGTGCTTATATTGTCACACAGCGATACTCAATGACGAGTTTGCCGTAGGTCGCATAACGAGACACTGCACTTGGATCCCCAAGGGAGGCATTATGAGACGGGGCAGGTATGTATGTGCAAAAGCGTTACTCACGGGACGACAGGCAGGTGTGGCGGATGCGATAGGTTGCATGGATTGATACACGGAGTGGTGTGTCCATCTGGAAACAAACAGGAATGAAGTCATGGACGGCGGTGGATAGGAACACCAAGGGGCTTTTAGCGAGCTGAAGTTTGACAAATAGCACAAATTTTTGTTCTGGTAATCCAGAGCGATATTCCAACATCCAGTTATCGACGTTTCAAGTAACTTTACCACTAACATTAAATGCAGTAAATCCTGGAATTCATACATGCGCCAAAGGTTTAAGTCGCCACATTCCCGTCATCGACATCACAGCCATCTTTCCTATCGCCATGGTCGTGGTGGATAGTTCAGGACACTACTTTCTCGTTTCTCCGTTACTCTATATAGTTAACCGGTTCCTATTTGACGAAAAAATATGGGGCTACTAAGGGGCGCTAGTTAGTCACTGTGAAATTAGTGTGTTTGCTGTCATGTCATTCATGAGGTTTTCACAGTCTCTTCTCATGCGTATGTGTTACCGAACGAAGCTTCTTTGACAGATCAACAATTGAAAAATCATCCCGCAACCGTTGTCGGCTGCATACCAACTCGTATTCAACCACCTAGTTGCTTCTTATCGTTTTGTACTCCCTATGCCCGAAGGTTTCACCGATGTCTTGACTAGACCATCTGTTTTACTCATGAGTTCGGCCAGCAACCAGTGGTGTCACCACCCGTTGGTTTCGACTCAATTTTTGTATCTATTTGCCACTGAATAATCGCTGCGATGTTTGTCCATTACTGCCACATTCACTGCGAGTATGACCTTGTCGGAACTTGTTGCTGCACCGAAATCAAACCTTATTTGATAGCATAAATCATATCCGTCCAGTGAGCCAGGAATTATCGTGGTTTTTTCTCTCGCTTGATGTTGTGGTGCTTAGTTATTCCGTTCTCTGTCATGTGAATTGCTCGCAGCTGAAGGTTGACGTGGTTCCAATCCGCTGATGTCGTATAATCTCCATCATTCGGCTTGACATGTGCTTTGGCTTGGACTGCGCTAGCCGCGTTCAGATGAATTTCACACCAGAACGAGTGCAGCATACAATCACATGCGGTATCCATCATGCATTTCAAGCTCGGTGTGCCACATATTTTCATAGACATTGGATGAGGCTGGTTACTTTCTTTTTGTACAGGAGTTACATGCGCCAAATGATTGGACGCTGATGATGGAAGCAAAGTAGCTGGGGTCAAATGAATGCCAGAAATTCTATTAGTGTTTGATTCTCTTCTGATAGGAGTGTCATACCAGAGTGAACAGATGAGATAACCCAGCGAGCCAGCTAACCAATGGGAGACAGCGTAACGGATTTGCTTACTGGACATTGTTTTGTAGACATTCATGCGACTTAATCATCGTTTGTTTAACTGAGTCAAAGGAAGAACCCCATCGCCTCAGAAGGGTCGTTAGTTATGGACGTGAACCTGTTACTAACGTGAAACAGGAGATTTGCAAATTTTGCGCGTCGTGACATCCGAGCATCTACGAACAGTGTCCAACGTGGGGACAGAAATGCCCAGAGTGTGAAACCACTTTGCTCCTTGTTGCCTATCAATCAAAGGGAGTGCGCCCGTCTGTGAAAGTTCAATCACAGACGTAGAATATTAAATTGGCAATGTGTCTCGGAGGGTGTCTACGCAAGATTTTTTTATCGAAGGCAAAGTCGTACGATTCCAGTTAGACACGGATGCTATTGAAAGCACTGTCCAAGAGTGCGATTTGATCAAGCTTGCCCGCGCATGTGGAATGGTTCCAGACTTCATCTGAAAGGCTCAGTTACAATCGAAATGGTTAATCCAAGGGATGAAGCCTCACATCGATTGGAGTTTGTGGTCGTGGATGTATAGCTCACGCCGATTCTCGTCATTGATTCAACCCAGTCTCTCGGTTTTGTTGTTGTTTATCCCGGTCTTTTCGTGCATACTTTCCAGGGCGAAACCGATATTAGTGACCGTCTGTGTTTAGCTCAGATTTGGGAAAATTTGAGCGAATTGCTCACTTATTCTTAAATCCTGTGATACGACCGACAGCGCTGCCGGCTAGAAGAGTTCCATTTGCACTGCGTGATAGGTTACGCAAATTAGGGAGAGTGGGTATAATTGCCAAAGTCGAAAAACCAACCGACTGAGTTAGTCAGGTCGCAATCATTACTAAGAAGACGGGCGAACTACGTATGTGTGTATTGACCCGAAGCCGTTGACTGAGACCCTGCGCAGATAGCATTAAGCGCTACCGACCTTAGGATATATTTTGCCTCGCTTGGCCAAACCTAAGTATTTCACGCATTTTGGCATGTAGTTCGATGAAGAATCCAGTTTCCTTCCTACCTTTGCAACACCGTTCGGGCGTTATAGTTGGATGCGTTTACCATTTGGTTTGAAAATCTCGAGTGAAAATTTTCAAAAGCTATTGGTGCAAGCGGGAGACGATTTCGTATGTCAAACATGTGTGGTAGACAATGTTTTGATCTATGGTTCGACGGTAGAAGAGCATGACGCTAATCGCCACTGTTTCTTGCAGCGTTGTGTGCAAAAATACATCACGTTAAACGTGCGAAAATTGAACTATGGTAAGACGCGGTACATTTTCATGGGCATTTGCTAACGACCCAAGGAGTCAGGTTCGATCAAGAAAAGTTTAATACGAATCGAGAGATGCCGCCCCCTAACGACGTAAAGGGAATCCAACGTTTAAACGTTATGGTGAATTACTTAAGCCGTTTTTTTGTATACTCGCTGATATCAATACGTCAGTCACAGTTGCTGAAAGAAACAGGAAACCGCACTTGCAATTATTAAGCACCTTATCAGCAACGCGTCTGTACTCGGGTCTTACGACCCAGCGCAGCTCCTGGAGGCACAGTGTGGCAGTAGCCAGAACGGAATAAGTGCTGTTCTCTTACAGAACCTTTTTATTGTCGCAGTCGAGCACTCGCCATGACCAAGCAGCGCTATGCGCAGCTTGAGGAGCAGATGCTCGCGGTAGTGCATTCCATGGAGCCTTTCAACTATCATTCTTTCGGAAGAACGACAACGGTGTATACCGACCACAAAACGCTTGTGTCGATATCCAGTAAACTGCTGCACATCATTCCTCGTCGTCTTCAACTTTTACTTATCTGGCTTCAAAAGTACAACGTGGATAGTGTGTACACATTGGTGTTCGTCGCGGATACGCTTTGAAGAGCTCATCTGCCGGTAGCCGAGCATAATCCAGAAGAGGTCGAAGCGGTAAACTAGTACAGCATCTGACAGTCACTGAAGATCGTCTGAATGAAATATGATGCCACACAGTGGAAGATGCAACGTTTGCAGTTTCGTGGGACGTTATTATAAAGTGGTTGGCCAGAAAGGAAGAAGCAGCCGCCGAAGGAACTAACACCCTACTTCTATTTTCGGGATGGACTCTCTGTCTATGATGGTTTGCTGTTCAATGGAAACCGTATTCTGATTCCGTCGTCCCTCCGTGGAGATATGCTGAAATATGTTCATCGTGCTCACTTGGGTCCCAACTGTACTGTTAACCGAACAGGAGAATTCATCTTTTGGCCAAGAATGACGAGTCAACTCAGATTTCATGTGTCGAATTGTGTGTCGTGCCGTTCACACGAAATCATGCAGACGAAGGAACCAATGATGTCCCTGATCGACCGTCGCAGTAGGTTGCATTGGATTTATGTTGTGACGAGGGGTGAGAATACTTACTTAGGGTGGATTACTATAGTGATTATTTTGAAATCGATTTACTCTCGACTAGGACCACAGAAGCAGTAATCAACAAGCTCAAATG